GCCCTAAACCAGTATGAGGAGCTCCTGAAGTGAAAAATAATTTCTGGTTCTTTCTATAGTTTTAATTTACGTTCTAAAACATGAAATGCCAAAGTAAAGATATTCAGCTATTGTTAAAGTCCAATACTAACACAATAATGCATAATATGTGTTCTTTAAAAGTCAGTTCATAAGGTTCTGTATTCTACTGTAACACTACTCCCTATGGCTCTATGTAGTTTGACTTTCTTCCTCTTTTGTCTCTCTCCTCTCCACTTATTGTCCATCCATTAATTTCACTGCACGCACGGTACCTGCAGGCAGCCAGAAGTAAATGAAGTTGTAAAATACCAATGTACAATTCATCATGGCGCAGTATCAAAGTGGAGTGGGCTTTTTCTCAGCTTGGCGGTGCTAGTGTGTCCTGTCACAGAGAGCTGAATTACAGATCCATCTTCGGACGGAGAAGAGAGAGCCTCCGCGGAAATAAATACGAGACGTTGTACCTCCTCAAGCAGTGTTTTCCATCTCTACTTCACATGGAATTAATTGAATCTTTCCCATCAAATTGTCACTCTCTTTTCATGTTTCCCAGCTGTCAAATTTTAAAAGCAAGCCACATTAATATATAAAACATGGAGAGGACATGAGTCTAAAATGAATCCAATACGTGTATGTAACAGTGAAAACATGTGGTAGGCCCATCGGAAATATACTGATGTACAGACGCTGCCTATTACATTAAAAAAAAAAAAAACATATGCAAATTTGGCTGTTTTGAGCTGTTAAAACATTGTTTCATCGTCAAAAACATCGTATTTTGCAAGGATGTAGGTTTGCATAGGGATGTTGGGGACATGTCACAACCAATATTTGGGGAACACAAAATAGTCCCTACCAATATTTACCATTTTATTAAATTTATTCTGATATTTTTCCAAACTGAGTAGTATTAATTTAACACGTTTTGGTTCACATTTTGTTTATTAGACGTTCTGAGATGTATTCAGTGATATGACGACAGGATTACACCTGCCGCTGTTTCATTGGCTGCAACAGAGTGATGTCATTAGTGGTACCAGGAGCCTAAACTGTCGAAGCGGCAGGACAGGGCCGCACCTGAAGATTTGCCGCTTGAGCAGACGTGAGTGAAGACGCTGCTCACCAAACTTTGAAAAACTTTTCAAAAGGAAGGCGAGGACAAAATTCAGTTTGTCGACTGGACAAAAGTTTGGTTGAAGACGTTTCGCAGCTCATCCAAGCTGCTTCTTCAGTCCAGTTCAGTTCAGAACTACAGTAAAGAAGCAGCCTGGATGAGCTGCGAAACGTCTTCAACCAAACTAATTTTTGTCCAGTCGACAAACTGAAGTTTCTCCTCGCCGTGGATTCTACCTGGACGACTGAGGGATTCTTCACACTTTTAAAAAGGAACTTACTTGGCTTCATCTTCAGTTAAACTTGTCTTATAATGAGTCGCCGCAGAAAAAGAACAACTATCACAAGTGCACCTCCCAAACGGAGCCCTACTTGTGCACTGTGAGCAGCTGGACTCTACTGACAATATTCCATGGAAAAATGTCTGGACATGACCTCAGAAATATCTCATCACACTTCTACATCTCTGTTATCCGCTAAAGAATCATCTTAGAAGAACAATGGACACAACTGTACATTTTGCAAACTGAAAAATGAAACCACCTCTCACTTATTTTGGACCTGCCCAGACTGTGTGTTTTTGGAAAAAAAAATCATAAAACATATTTGCAACTTCTTATCCAATTTTGTCCTTTCCTATAAAGATGTGTCCAAACCTACGCCCTCGGTATTTTGCCTAATTTATGCTTCTTTCTGTAATCCTGTGCACTAGAATCTGTTTTAATTTCCCCCAGATAGTTAAATAACTGAAAAAACAGGTCCATAAAACTTCACTGAGCTTGTTCTGAGCGTTTCTCTTTTCATATTGGTTTCATAAAACTGTGTGTGTATATTAGGATGGCAGTCACGTCGCTATATGCTTTGTAGTTGTCTTTTCATAGGTCATGGCTATTGCTGGGAGCTCTAAAGTAATCTGATTATTCTTCTATAGGCCTCTTGCTTTTGAAGTGTTTTCCAAATATAGACGTTATATTATTCGATGCTCTGAAAAGCATGCTTAGGAGCAAAATAAAGCATGATATGTCGACCTTAAGTCACAAATTGCTGTCTGAAGATCGCGGCGTGGTGCTTTTGTCAACTACTCTAAAGCCTCATTTCCATTGGTTCGCTTTGGAGCAGATGGGTACAGGCCACAAATGTCTCCAAGTGACCCGTACCTTCCTGTTGGAGGGTTCGAAGTGGACCCTGGAGGATACTAGCTCCCAACACGGCACTGATCTCTCGGGATGTGGAAACACAGCTCCACTGAAGGAGCCCACATAAAACAGACCTGCTCCAAGGCTGCCCCGAGCAAATGTGTTTGAGTAAGAATTGATCTAATACAATTTCCAAAGCAGCTGAACGGTGATTTGGCAGGATTTTACACCGAGTACCCTCCAGTGCAAAGATTTTAAAACTTATATCAGGTTATTCATCCTGTTTTCAGATTTATTATATACTTACTAGTTCTGAGATGCTTAATTCTAGTCTAGAGGTGATTTATTTTAAGATAACTTGCTGCATTGACAGATAATTTCACTACTTTTAAGTCATTTTCTGGTAGATTTAAGTGTTTGTATCTTAAATTTTGACCAAGTTTTTCTTTGCAGTGTCCCTGAGTTTTTACTAAACTTCATGTAGTTGACGTGTCTTGCCCTGGAGCACAACAATATTACGCATCCATGCAAGAATCAAACATAAACTCTGAAAAGTGAAGCACTGTCAATTTAAATCCCTATACTGTGTCCGAGGGCCCAGTTCATGAATTTCTCTCTGGTCCCTTTTTCTTCTTTTCAAAAGTATCACCAATAGGGATCATAGAATATTAGAATTAAAGACAAACTGCAGCGCTGGCTCTGATGCTCTAGAGGCAAAAATTCTCAAAATTGCACATGTTTTAATGTTTCCTTTAGCTTATCTTTTTAATCTGTCTCTAAAACATCTACATTTGCTTCCATCTGGAAAACAGGAAGAGTTACTCCTCCAACCTATTGATATGAGTAACTGTCAACCTATTTCTATTCTTTGGGCAGTCGCTAAAATATTTTTAAAAACATATTTTCCATCAGTTATATAATTATTTCAATAACATGTAATATTCTATCCCCTTTTCAATCTGGCCTTCGCTTTGGTTTTTCTACTACAACTAAACTACAGCTAAAATTTACTAATGATGTATTCTCGTCTTTTGTTTGTAATCAGTGCGTCAGATCTGTATTTCTTGACCGTCCAAAGCTTTCGATGTAGTTGGTTATTACTTGCTCCTAGACAAACTTTACACTGAAGCCATTTTGTGGTTTAACTTAAACCTTCATCATAGACGTCAGTTTGTTGTTTCACTTGGTGCTCAGTTAGACAAATGCATAATAGATAAAGGTGTGCCTCAAGGCTGCATCTTTGGCTCACTTTTATTTTCAGTTTTCATCAATGATCTTCCTCAAGTAATTTGAAACTGTTCAAGAAATATATATGCTGATGTAATTTATACTTCTAGTTCAGATCTTTCCTGGCTTCAAAACCAGTCACAGCTTGATTTTATAAAACTTGTTTACTTTTTGGAACTCACCACTATTTAATCCATTCCCCTAACCTTCACATTCAGTTCAGTGATGGGTACAGGGTGATTAAAACTGAAACTATCAAATATCTCGGGACCCTGAACTTAAACTCAACTGGCTACAACCATATAATAGACGATGAGTAATTGGATTCAACAAATAGTTTATATTTGTTTACTCTTAACTGTCCCCATTATCTACATCAATATTTAGTCCCAGAAAGATCGTCACATTCACTTAGAGGCACCCACTGTCTCACTTTTTCTGTTCTCCAAATCTGCAAAGAACCTGGATGCAGATCATTTCATTATAAAGCTCCTTCAGATTGGAATAGATTACCCACACGCTTAAGAACTTTAACTTTTGATTCATTTACTGTATTTCTCAGACTATAAGTTGTACTTTTTTTCATGGTTGGGTGTTTCCTGCGACTTCCACTCAGTTGCGACTGCAGAAAGAGATGCTGTCCTGCTGTAAGTAGCAAAATATTCAGCCGAAAACAGTAATCGAACAGCAGAAAAAAAAGTTTGGAGTGAGCGAGAAACTTGTGAGGGACTGGTGGAAAGTGGATGATACTTGAACTGCAATGAAGAAAACAATAAAGTTAATTGCGGGCTAAAAGATAGATTTAGCTAGAATTGGTGGAGTTGCTCAGAAGTGACACGAGAATGAAGAATCAATGGATTTAGTGATTTGGAGTGAGATGGAGAGTTCGGTAAACTTGTTCTATTGTGTTTTTTTATACTATAGTTATCTGAAGAACTGTTCATAGTTTAGGTTTACATCCCAGACACATATTCTTATAAATTTTAGATAAATTCCCATCCAAAAATGCAACTTACTGTATAGTCCAGTGCAATTTATATATGTTTTTTTTCTTCTTCATTATGCATTTTTTGGCTGTTGTGACTCCGGAGCGACTTTTAGTCCAAAAACTAAGTGAATCGTCTTTGTATCCATATCTCAAAACTCCTTTTTTATGTTTTTAGTTTGTATTTTTATTTTTCAGTTTGTTCAATTTTTTATTTATTTTTTTCCATTTGTTCATATTGTATTGTATTGTATTGTGTTTTACTAATGTGTTGTGTTTTTTGGACTCCCCTCCAATAAAATAAAAACTAAAACCTCAACAATATCATCCTGGCAAAAGTGTCTGTACATGAGTATATTAGAGCAAGTTTAGTTTATGATGTGCTGATTATGTAAGACCGTAACTGTCCACACACGTCTCCACCCACACCTGAAGAACACTTACTGTACATACATACAGCAAAATACACTGCGGCTCTACAAACAGCAGCGCCCCCTTGTGGAGAAGCCGGGGAACTGCTAAAAATACAGGTAGTATGTCCAGTAGAGCAGGTTGACTATGACGAACGAGAGAGGGAACGTGATTCGGGAGTAGTTGTCTATGTGATGGGGGTTTTCCACGGTGCAGCACTTTATGGAGCGGAGGAGTTTGCGCAGGGTCGCCAGGGCGGTGATGCACCAGTGGGTGTGTTCGGGCGGGGCCGGCTCGGGCTTGGGCTCGCTGCCGGAGGGGGGAGGAGGGGGTGACTGTCAGTTCGGTGGAGGCGGGGGTGGTGGCGGGCGCGGCGGGTTGCTCCTTGGCCCGTCTCTTGGCGCGGTTGGCGGCGGCGGCGTGGCTGGAGATGGTGGTGACGATGCCGTTGATCTCGTCGTCCAGGTCGTGGAGGTGGTGGCTGTACTGTGGACGCAAAAGCAGGAAACCAGGTGTTAGTGAAAGATATTTTGGTAACACTTTATTGATAGTTTGCAGTGGGGGTGTTCTACATGTATGTCTATGGTGGAATAGACGCATCAAGAATCCCGGACTTCCGGTCATTGCGCAATACATACTGGGAAGGATTTTTGAAAAAGTGAGCATCAAACTGCCATGTTTGTTTTCCCAGTGGGATGCGTCTATTGACAAAGCCGATCTTTTCAAGTCTTTTGAAGCGTATCACTTTTGTTTCTGGTTCTGATATTGTCATATTTTAGTTTTTTAGTTTTCATTTTAGTGCCATCAAAGCAAAATCCTGATCCTTCGCTCAACCTTGGTTATGAATTTAAAAAGTCAACACCAAAGCAAAACGCACCAGCTGTTCGCCAAGAAACAACTTCCACTGCAAAGCGACCAAGACTTAATGTTGCTGTAAAACCAAAAGAACAAGAAAGTGCGAGCTCAGTCTGTTTGTCTTCTGCACCTCTCGCTTAACAAACAGGATTTTTCTTTGTCGTTGCTCCACATACAAAATGTTCTCTGCAAACTCGGGATGATTTAGGCAGTCAAAGGTTTCCTTTTTTGTCCTTCCCGTGAATCAATCCTGCCGATCGCCTTCACCTTTCACTATTTTTTAATTCCGCTGGGAAGGGAAACAGTTTGAACGGAGTTGCAGTCACACAGATCTGATTCCCTTTTGTATTTATGTGTTTTGCCATTTTCCGCTGTTAGGATCCAACAACCACACAATTATGATGTCCGAATCCCAAAACTAAAATATGACAATATCAGAATCAGGAACAAAAGGGATATGGTTCAAAAGACTTGAAAAGACTGGCTTTGTCACTAGACGCATCACACTGGGAAAACAAACATGGCGGTTTGATGCTCACTTTTTCGAAAATCCTTCCCCGTTTGCACTGCTCGATGACCGGAAGTTCGAGATCCTTGATGTGTTTTTTTATCAGAATATATGTGCAATCCCTCAGTCATCCAATTGTGTGTACTGTATCGCCATGACAACGTCTGATAGCTCCTGGCAAAAGGAGAAATTCACTTTGTCAACTGGACAAAAGTTGATTTGGTTGAATATGTTTCGCAGCTCATCCAAGCTGCTTAAACACACATTAGCAAAGTCAAAAGTCAAAAAAGTTTTAAGTTCAATAAAAAATACAAAATGGATTCAGCCTGTGATCTATATGAGTGTTCATGCTCCTGTTTAGGAGTTTCAAAATTAAATCAATTTCTTGAAACGTTTTTGACATTGTTTGCTAATGTGCACATTGTGTCTCCATGGTAACTGCTGAATATTTCACCACAGAGCTAGAACACCCCCAGCATGATGTAACTGCAAATTATCAATAGTCTTACTACATGAGAAATAACTGAATTATGAAACCATTTTGATCTTTAAAAGCAACAATAATAATATTAGCAATACATTAGTTTTAAATTGTGTTTTTCTGGACACTCAAAGACGCTTTACAGAGCATTATTCATTCACTCCACACTCGGTGGTAAACTATTGTTGAGATCTGACAGGATCAGGCTTTGACAAACCGTTATGGCGATTGTAATATTAATTTCCGTTGTTTGTTCCAAGTTATGAATCCAATATCTCCCCTCACTTATTTTTACATGCTCCTGTAGATGATATTTACTCAGATTACCCCAAAGACTTTACTTGTTCCCCTAAGACTGCATAGATGATATTGGTTACTTACATAATGTCTTACCATGAGCATGTGGGAGTCGGTGCTGGTGAGGGTGCAGAAGTGGGCCACGGCGTACTCGATCAGAGCACCGAAGATGAAGCTGAAGCAGATGCCCAGGTACACGTCTATGGCCTTTATGAAGCAGTTTGCGTTGGGCAGAGAGGTGCGGGCGCCCATCATCAGGGTGGTCATGGTCAGCACTGTGGTCACGCCTAAAACGGAGACAAACACATGGGAAGGATGTTTCAGGTTCCAGATCACAGTGTTTACATTTTATCTGTTTGCATGCTAGTTCTTGTTGCAAAACTCCGCTCTGGGCTTTGAAATTGTGAGCACTTTTTAACTCATTGCGGTGAATGTGTTAGGAAAGTGAGGAAAACATTTGGACTGCAAAAACTATTTAAAATTTACTATTTTTTTCACATCATTAATACAGTTAGAAATAATATATAGTTTCTGTAATCATCCCAGCTAATGATACCCCACACAGTACAAACAAGTCATGAGCACATAGTCCATTTTACTATAACCATTAATTATATTCTTCAAATATGGAAATTGGGGAAATTTAAGTAAGAGATAGTTAACCTTGCACAATGAGATAGATTCTAGAGATATTTGTGAGTTCACAAGCTCTTGAGAGTCCATCTTGGAGTGCACCCACTGTACCACACACCACAACTCTGTGGGTGGACTAATGACAGAGCAGCATTGTGGGTTTGTTCAGAAGCCAAAGGTGAAGCCCAAACCGCAGACTCACGTTCTTCAGTCTGTTTAGCATCATTGCGGACTATTTTGTTTGTGAAAAAATGTGCACAAGGAAAGAGCTTTGTGCATTTGTAGACAGGGAAGATTTCTCTCAACTGGATGCAACAGAAGTTACATTTTTTTAGCTTAGTCGTCATGACATGTTTCTGAACACTTTCAGTAAGAGTCAGATTGATAAATTAGAGATGTGCGGATGGGATATTTTTTCATCTGCAACTGCATCACAAAACTCATCATCCATCCACTGTCCATTTATACCCACGCTTTTTTGACCAGGTTTCAAAACCGCACTCGTCTGCCACCCATCGATTGATCGCAGAGTTCCGAGTTTTTTATTCGAGTAGTAAAGTGCGAAGTATAGTTCTGCATCAACTCAACGCACACTGCCTTGTCGCCTTGTCATTTTTGATGTATGGATCTGCGTCGAGGTTTATGTGCCAAAAAGTAATTCACCACCACAACACTAGGAGGCGAGGATATACTGTATATCCATTCATATACATGATCTATGCGTATGACCTGCAGAATCAATCAATAATCTCAGAAAAGTTTAACATGAACCATCTCCAACATGATAGAAGCACAGAACAGACTCATCATCAGCAGAACACCCCTCTGTCACAGAAAGAACACAATTATTATTATATACAAACATATTTCACCATGTCCTTTTTAGGTCTGACGGAAGTTGACCACATTAGGGCACAAGGAGTGAGTTTTTTCAGCTCTAATAGTCTATGCAGTGTCTGTGCCATGTGGTTTTAAGTTTGATTTCTCAGTGTACATTGAAAGAAAGGAAAGCAGAGTAAAACCGCCACCTGCCCAAATTTTATTAAAATATAATTTTTCGTCATGTCATCCCCCGACCCGCGGTTTAACCATGGTTTACCTGCAGAGTCCGCGGCTGTGACCCCCATCCGTGCACCTCTACTGCACATCAGTGTGGTGTGAACCAGGTTAAGAGGCAGTAGCAGAAACATATACTTTTTCACAAATCTTTATTAACAACTCTGGATAGAAGTTGAAATGTTTTGATCTATAAAACTTTGTTAACATGGATTAAATCGATACTTGCAAACAAATTATCGCTGACCACCAAACAACACCTTTGCTCTATGTATTTATTCATATATACATATGTATATTTTTATACACACAGGGCACAACTTGGGAATAGAAGTTAGTTTGACTGTAGACTGCAGATATTGGGTCACTTCTCTTTATGCATTTTCCTGCAGAGATGATAGTGCCTGTATCTCTGCTCTGCTTTCTCTGCTCCATAAAAACTCAAATGTGAGGAGACATAAGCATTAGCTCACAGAGTCATTATCACTCAGCAGCGCACACTCCACAGATCCTGGTGCAGATTCACTTGATTTAATGAGCAATGTAATGAAGTAACACCATTTCTCTGCAGCCTGCCTGTGTGCTTATTCCAAACATTTTAGCATCTCCAAACAAAGCATCAAAGGTCCCTCTTTTTGAACTTCTGCCACTTTCAAACTTTAGAAACAACTTCAAGAGACTGTAGCCAATTTTTCCCATGTATTTGAACACACTTTGTCTTGCCCCAGTATAGATATATTGTATAAGCAGCTTTTGAGGTCAAAATAAGTCCACTGTGTACTGTTTGCATCTAATTATGAAGCCTTTTAATGTCCGATAATCAGGAAGTGTGCTTTAATATGCAAGTTGTTGTTAGCTTTTTCCGAGAGTTGTGTAAAGTGCATATAAACTGAATGCAGTGAGTAATTAGGATGCATAAGATAAGTGAGAAATAACTTTGGACCACTGTAAACTGTTAAAATTGAGCTAATGCTTTGAGAACCTCTAAGGTGGAAAAAGGCCGGAAAAAGGTGTCTTGACCTCTCCGGGTGCGTGGAGAGTCCCTGCCTCAAGTGGAAGAGTTCAAGAATCTTGGGGTCTTGTTCGCCTCCCTCGAGAGGTGTATCAGGGATGTCCCACCAGGAGGAGGCCCTGGGGAAGACCCAGGACACGCTGGAGGGATTATGTCTCTTGGCTGGTCTGGGGACGCCTTGAAGTCCCCCCATAGGAGTTGCAAGAAGTGCTTGGGGTGAAGGAAGTCTGGAAGTCCCTGCTTAGACCCAGCCCCGGATAAGCTGAAGAAAATGAATGGATGGATGCCTCGAAGGTAGAAAAGTGCTATAGAAATGTTCTGAGACTGCCAAGATTCCTACTTTATTTAAGATTAGAATGAATGCCTTATTTGATTTCCACGTGTCTTCTCTCTGTAAGACTTTGTAACTATCTGCAAAAAGCTCTATAGAGATAAAAAAATAATAATAATAATAATAAAAATTACTTAAAACTTTAATAAAATGTTTTATAGAAATAATACTATAGCATGCACAAAACTTCAAAAAGTTCATTTAGTGTATCATGTAAAGGCCTTGATTGTCGCTTGTATTATAGTTTGTTTTTTTACCTATACAGATGCGTGCCGGGACAGAGGAGAGCGAGATCCAGAAGGAGACCCAGGACAGCACCACCAGCAGGCTGGAGGGCACATAAGTCTCCAGGATGAAGTACAGGATGCTCCTCTTCAGCTCGAAGTGGAACACCAGCTTCGGGTAATGCCCTGGAACAAGAAAGAGCAAGAAAGTGAGTGTCATTTATTAATTATTAGCAATTTAATGACAATCTAATATCAAATATACCACATGGTAAGATCTCCAATACTGAAACTTTTGGTGGAGGGTTCAGTTACGTTTTTAGCGATAAAAACGTGTAATGGAATAAATTGAAGGCATAATGTGGAAAATTCCAGGCAAAGCAAAAATATCTCCTGCTGAAAAGCTTTAAGTATACCATGAAAATACCCACAATTTGGATATTTGCTACATAGCTAATACATACTGTGTAGCATCATTATATTAAAAAGACAAATATTATAGTTGCATGTGACTTGCCTGTCTCGTAAATGGCCTCAGACACAGAGGTGTAGTGGTCTTCCACAGTGTACTGAGCCAGCTGCAGAGAGTCCAGCCCACTCACAGACTCGTTCCCTCTGGTCCAGTAGAACATCACATCGTTTATGTTGTAGCCCCCTGTAAAAACACAAAATAGGTCAATATAAGCTATTTGACATATGAATGAAGGTCAGTATGTTCAGTTCAGGACTGAGTGTCGGGTGACCGCAGGTGAAAGGACCGTCACAGAGCTCAGCGCCACATGGGAGTAAGTGCATCCATCGCCTGATCGTGACATCCTGCTTCGTAGGGTCTCTCTCCCTTAAGTCCAAGATTAGACCTGGTCTAGTCCTGGTTGAGTCCTGTTTTAGTCCTGGTTTAGACCTGGTGTAGTCCTGGTTTAGTCCTGGTTTAGACCTGGTGTATGGTTTGGACCTGGTGTAGTCCTGGTTTAGACCTGGTGTAGTCCTGGTTTAGACCTGGTGTAGTCCTGGTTTAGACCTGGTGTAGTCCTGGTTTAGACCTGGTTCTGGTTTAGACCTGGTGTAGTTCCTGTTTAGACTGGTTTAGACCTGGTGTAGTCCTGGTTTAGAGTCCCTGGTTTAGACCTGGTGTAGTCCTGGTTTAGACCTGGTTTGTAGGTTTACTGGTAGACCTGGTGTAGTTCTGGTTTAGACCTGGTGTAGTTCTGTAGTGGTTTAGACCTGGTGTAGTCCTGGTTTAGATAGTCCTGGTTTAGACCTGGTGTAGTCCTGGTGTTAGACCTGGTTCTGGTTTAGACCTGGTGTAGTCCTAGTCCTGGTTTAGTCCTGGTTTAGACCTGGTGTAGTCCTGGTGTAGTCCTGGTTTAGTCCTGGTTTTAGACCTGGTAGTCCTGTGTAGTCCTGGTTAGTCCTGGTTTAGACCTGGTTTAGTTCCTGGTTTAGACCTGGTGTAGTCTCCTGGGTGTAGTCCTGGTTTAGTCCTGGTTTAGACCTGGTGTAGTCCTGGTTTGGTGACCTAGTCTTAGTGGTTAGTCCTGGTTTAGACCTGGTTTAGACCTGGTTTAGTCCTGGTTTAGACCTGGTGTCCTACTGATGTTCAGTAATGATAAAGTTGCCTCACTTTGCCCTGCATGAAGTTGCAAAAATTGTTTATGAATGCACTTAAAAAAAAAAAAAAAAATGACAATACAGTATTAAAAAAATATACCATCAGTTGTTTTTGAAACTCATCATTTCCAGGAACACAAAAGATGCATTTACTTCAAAGGTCTGTGCGGGGGAGGGCAGGTGGAAAGGAGTTTGGGAAAGGGGGAGGTGCTCGACTGTCTTTATCTACTCTAAGGGGAGACTTATATTCACCCAGTTTGAAAACCCCTGCAATAGAGAATTTGTGATCAAAAAGGAGGAGATGTCTTTTATTTCGGTTTAGACATGGTCAAGTTCTGGTTAAAGGTCCCATATTACACAAATGTGACTCTTCTGAGCTTTAAGGCATGTTACAATACTGTCCCCTCCTCAAAAACATTCTCAGAGTGTTTAGTTTTATTCACACACCTTTTACCCTTTTCAACAAGTCCAGGACTGAAATTATCCAAATGATTCTAGTGAAGGTGTGTGGATTTTAAAAACACAGTGGGCAGTGTTGGGGAGTAACAGATTACATGTACCGGAGTTACGTAATCAGAGTACAAATTCTGAGTAACTGTATTCGGTTACAGTTACTGTTTCAGTGAGTGGTAATTGGATTACAGTTACTTTGCTGAAATAAATGGATTACACAGCAGTATTTTCCTGTTTTCACATTTTGGGTTATATCCACCCCCTTTTTTTTTTTTTTTTTTTTTTTTTTTTTTGGTAATTCCACTCATTGCTGGAAACTAAACCAGGTCTAAATTAGATCTAAACCAGGTCTAAACCAGGACTAAACCAGGATTAAAACCAGGTCTAAACTAGATCTAAAACAGGTCTAAACCAGGTCTAAACCAAGTCTAAAACAGGTCGAAACCAGGACTAAACCAGGAATAAACCAGGTCTAAACCAGGACTAAAACCAGGTCTAAACCAGGTCTAAACCAGGACTAAAACCAGGTCTAAACCAGGACTAAAACCAGGACTAAACCAGGAATAAACCAGGTCTAAACCAGGATTAAACTAGGACTAAAACCAGGTCTAAACTAGAGCTAAATTAGATCTAAACCAGGTCTAAACCAGGACTAAACCAGGATTAAAACCAGGTCTAAACTAGATCTAAACTCGGTCTAAACCAGGTCTAAACCAGGTCTAAACCAGGTCTAAACCAGGACTAAACCAGGACTAAAACCAGGTCTAAACCAGGACTAAAACCAGAACTAAACCAGAAATAAACCAGGTCTAAACCAGGACTAAACTAGGACTAAAACCAGGTCTAAACTAGAGCTAAACTAGATCTAAACCAGGTCTAAAACAGGACTAAACCAGGACTAAAACAGGATTTAACATGATAGGACTAAATCATGCTGTGTGGACGTGTCTCCTCTTCTTCTATCAATAATATTTTTAATTTGGTTCAGTAAAGTCTGGGCTTTTTATTTTCTTTTATCAGACAAAACTTCTTATGTTATGATTTCCTCGTCTTTGCTTCTCTACAGCAAATCAAGTAATCCAGAGTATTCAGATTACATTACTCACCTTCAGTAATTTAATGGATTATGTTACAAACCACATTTTGGGGTTTGTAATCTGTAATCTGTAGGGGATTACATTTTAAAAGTCACCTTCCCAACACTGACAATGGGGCACTTCATGTATCACAAGGTGGTACAAGGGTTTTCAGTTTGAGAGACGAACTTTGTGTGAATTAAACCAAACAACTCCAGACACGTTTGTGGTGAAAAAACAGCATTGGACATGGATTAGAAAATAGTGTAATGTGAACCCTTTAAAAAACGTTTTACTCAACTAGATGCTACCAACGTCTGACACCACCAACAGTAAATAAAATAAACTTCAGAGAGCGAAAGTGTATCACACAGAAAACAGAGGCAAAATCTCCATTGCAAAGCCCGACTGTAGCACAACAGACTAATCATGCACAGAGCACCAGGCCCCAGAGAGAGGCCATAACCCAAATAAGACCAGAGGAAGGAGCCATGCAAATTTAATATGGTTAGATACACAGAGCCAGCGTTTCCACCCAGAAGAAACACTCTGGCCTTTTCTTTTCCAAGTAATTTCAGAAGAAGGTTTTCCTAATATTGCCTTTTTGAATTTTGAAACTTCACTTGAGAAATTACATTTTTGTGAGACTTTTTAAAGTAGTAAAGTAATAAAAACACTTTATTATAACACTTCAGTAGTAGTAGTAGCAGGAGCAGGAGGAGCAGTAGTAGTAGTAGTAGTAGAGTAGTAGTAGCAGTAGTAGTAGTAGTAGTAGCAGTAGTAGTAGTAGTAGTAGTAGTAGTAGTAGTAGTAGTAGTAGCAGTAGTAGCAGTAGTAGTAGTAGTAGTAGTAGCAGTAGTAGTAGTAGTAGTAGTAGTAGTAGTAGTAGTAGTAGTAGTAGTAGTAGTAGTAGTAGTAGTAGTAGCAGTAGTAGTAGTAGTAGTAGTAGTAGTAGTAGTAGTAGTAGTAGTAGTAGTAGTAGTAGTAGTAGTAGCAGAAGGAGCAGTAGCAGCAGTAGTAGTAGTACTTACTGCTGTAGTAGTAGTAGTAGTAGTAGTAGTAGTAGTAGTAGTAGTAGCGTAGTAGTAGTAGTAGTAGTAGTAGTAGTAGTAGTAGTAGTAGCAGAAGCAGCAGTAGCAGTAGTAGTAGTAGCAGTAGTAGTAGCAGTAGTAGCGTAGTAGTAGTAGTAGCTAGTAGCGTAGTAGTAGTAGTAGTAGTAGTAGCAGTAGCAGTAGTAGTAGTAGTAGTAGTAGTAGTAGTAGTAGTAGTAGTAGTAGTAGTAGTAGTTAGTAGTAGTAGTAGTAGTAGTAGTGGCAGTAGTAGTAGTAGGAGTAGCTAGTAAGTAGTAGCAGCAAAAGTAGTAGTAGAACTAGTAGTAGTATAGTAGTAGTAGAAGAGTAGTAGCAGTAGTAGGAGTATCAGTGGTAATAGTAGGAGTAGTACAAAGAGTAACAGGAGTAGAAGTAGTAGTGATAGTAGTATTAGGAGGAGTAACAAACAGGCATAGCAGGTAGTGGTAGAAGTAGTCGTAGTAGTAGTCGTAGTAGTAGTAGTAGTAGAGGTAGTAGTAGTTCTTTTTACAAGCACTTACATAAAACCTTACAGTTACTTTTACTTGAGTAACTGCATCTTAAATCATCAGATAAAAAGAGTCGAGCTTCTCTTCTCTCTTGTTAAAAATGCGTATGAATGTGCATTAACAGAGCCTCCTGGTGTATTTACATGAGTGACCTGCAGGGGGAGCAAGAGAACCAGGGAAGCACACTGTGTGAAATGTAAGAGCGGAGCTACACCTCTGTAATCTGCTCAAACGCTCTATAATTTGCTAATCCCTGTTAACCCCATACAGAGAGGGGCTGTGTCCACACTGAGCCCGGGGCAGCCAACCAACAGAGGGGACTTTGATCATTTAATAGGCTAGTTCAGGGACCCCTCGAAGTTTTCAGACATAATATTTTACACTTATTACTGAAATATCTTAATTGCATACGTACAAAACAGCACTAGTATAGGATAAAACATGGACAAAACAGCTACTGTATTTCAGACTAACCAGGGTTATGCACGGTCTAAACGGGGTCTAAACCAGGACTTAAGGAGGGACCAAATCAGGACTGGACCAGAACTAAACCAGGACTACTACTGTAAATGAATATTGGCTAAATCAGGACAACACGAGGGACTAAAGTGGACCTATAATCATCTTAAAGGGCCCATATCACACTACTTTCTGATCTCTGTTATAACACAGACCTGGAGTTGTGTTTTGTTTCATTCACACATTTAACACACAAACTGCAAATTTAGGCTAAATTCTTCTCTCAAACATGTGTGAATGAAACAAAACACAACTCCAGATATGTTTTTGAAGAGAGAAGATCACATAAAAGTCAACTTTCTGTAATAAAGGATTTTTCACATAGCCTGATTCATCAGCTGGTTTCACTTCGTAGAAACCGTCTGACCTCGCAGTGTTAGAATTCGTTCGCTTGACGGTAGGCGGATACTTTTTTTTTTC